GGAGGAGCAGATGAATCCTGAGCTGAGTCTTAAAGATGAGCAGAGTTTATCCAGGCAATGACGAATCTAAAGAGCATTCTGGATTGAGGTAACAGGAAAGGCATGGAAAATATGGTGTTTGTGGGGCACTGGAAGCAGTTGGTTGATCCACAGCATAAAGTATTGTGAGCTGGACACTGAAAGAGGAAGCTACCAGAGATATGAGGCCAGGTTTTCTCATTGTTAACATCCAGTTGTCATTAAGTGCTCTGGTTATTATTAGTGAGGTCTGGTTACGTTTCCATTACTTATTTGTGTGAAGTTTCAGACTATCAGCCTTTGAAAGTTGGAAGTTTATGTCTATACAAGAATAGGACTATCTTGGAGGACAGGACTAATGCTACTTGGAAGGCAGAATGCCATTTTCCCCTCTGTAGATAGTCTTAAAGAGTAGATAGGCAGCCTAAAATTGCTGCCTGCTGTACAGGACTAATGAATGAGAATCGTATAGGAAGGTGAGAGCTTTTGATATGTTCTGATTCATTGTGTCCAAGGAGAGTTTACATGCCTGCATTCACACCCATCTTTCTGTCAATTTCAGCGGGACTGCTTCCCACCCCCAAATTCCCACCAATAAGGAATAAAATCATTCATCAGATTATATTAATTTAGAAGCTCCTTATACCCATTCTATCATGAATCACCCTCAGGTCGTCTGCCTTTAGTAACTAATTATTAAATAGATACTTAGTAGGTTATACAACAGTAAGTGGAAGAGCAATAGCAAAAGATGACTCTGAAAAGCTGAGTGGATAGAGAAGCTGGAGAGTTAGAGGGCATCTTCCAGGTCTGCTTCCTTAATGTACACACAAATCTCATGGAGATCTTGTGAAAGTATAGGTTCTGATTCATTAGGTCTAGGGGGTGGAAGCAACAATTTGCATTTTTATCAAGCTCCCAGGTGATGTCAGGGCTGCTGGTTCACAGAGTTCGCTTTGAGTTGCAAGGTCTTAGAGTCCATTTAGTACAATCCTTTACCCAGGGCTGGAATCTACATTGCAACAGCCCTGATGAGTCATTAGAAGCCTCTGCAGGAAGACTGCTGGTGTGTCTCACCTCCCCCACCTTTGTGGAGTGAGTCTAATTGTTGGAACAGTTTTTCATGCCCCTAGATGCTATCTGGGAAATTTCTGTGCATTGGTCCTTGTTCTATTTTTGGAACCACTGAGAATGAATCTAATCTCTCTTTCTTGTGACAGCCCTTTGGAAATTTGAAGAACATTTTTATGTTCCCTTTAAATCTTCTTTTCAATGGATTAAATCTCCTCATCTCCTTTAGCTGTTAATCATAGAAACCTCTGGACTCTCCCAGGAATCAGTATTCTTTAAGTGTATCTCTTCTGAGCACAGTGTTCCAAGCTTTATCCAAACATCAGAGAGTAAAATGGGTCTGATACCAACCTGGCTGTTGATTCTTTGCTTCTGCCAGAGCGTCTTCAATCATCTTGGTTGTTTGGCAGCCAAATCAGACTTTAGATTCAGAATGAACTTGGTTGATAAGAGAAAGCCATGTTTTTCTCACTGGTTGCTATTGACTCAACTAGCACTTTTGGAGTTCTTTATGTTTTCTTAAAAAAAAGTTGTGATATCTTGTTTTCTAATTATGAAATAAATATTGGACATTTGGAAAATGTGAATTAGCAAAATGACCATTATTAACATGTTGAGATATATACACCAATTTTTTTACGCATAGGCATGTGTATGTATCGTCAATGGCATTTTGCAATGACATTGAACTATCTCTTGTGAACATGTTTCACACGTTTTCATTAGCTACATAATATTTATTCATATCAAAATTTTTAGTTTTTTCAACCAGTCCCTTGTTGTTGGGATTTGTTTCTGATTTTTTGTGTCATTATAATCAATGCTTTAATAAATATCCATGAACCTAAAGTTTTTATACATTTTTGATGAAGGTAAATTCCTAGAAGTGAAGTTACTGAACTAAAAGATAGGCTATTTAACGTTTTTCAATTTATTTTATATTTGTCATACTGTCCTCTAGAAAAGTTGTACTAATATGTGTATATTACCACCAAAAGTAAGAGTACCAATTTCTCTACACACTTGCACCCATAATCATTAAAAAAATTCTTTGATAGTTTGAAGAACAAAAACAAATGGTATTCCATTGTCTTATTTTGCAGTTTAATTACTAGTGAGATTGAACATTTTTTCACTTGTCTGTTGCCTTTTAATTTCTTCTTTTGGGGAATTAGCTTTTCATATCTGTTGATCATTTTTGTATTAGGGCATTTTTCTTTTTCCTAATGGCTTGATGGCTTGTAGTAGTTATTTTAGTGCAAAGAATATGTATCCCAAATAATTTTCCCAGTTATTTGCTTTTTAGTTTTGTGTTTATTATAACTAGAATGTGTTCTGGATTGTGACTTCTATCAGATTATTCTTAATTTATAGGAAAATTATGTTTTTTGTGTATGTGTTACTCAGCTGGTGAGCTTTCTGAACATTCATATTCATTTGAATCATTTAAGTTAAGTTTGAATCTCATCTCTTTTTCTTGTCTTGTTGTATTAGCTGGAAATTCTAGAACAATACTAAATAATAATGGTGGTAATGGGCATCCTTGTTTTGTTCCTGACTTTAATGTTTTATTATTAAGCATGATACTGGCTTTTGTTTTGAGATATATATCAAAGCAAATACATATTTAAGGAAATATCCATTTATTCAGATATTTTCACAATTTAAAAATCAATAGTAATTGCTGAAATTTATCAAATGTCTTTAGCATCTGTTTATATGAATGTGGTCTCTTTCTCTCTTTCTCTAGAAACAATTTTAAACTTAGAGGGAAGTTGTAAGTATAGTACAAAGAACTGTTTTTCCTAAGCCATTGGAGAGGATGTTGCTGACATGACACCACATCAACCCTGACTACTTTAGTGTTTGTTTTCTACAGACAAGAAATATTCTCCTACATTACTGAAATACTACCATCAAAACCAGGAAATAAACACTGATAGATATATTATTATCATGCAATCTTTAGATCCCATTCAAGTTCTACCAAACGTTCCAGCTCCTGACAGCCAGGGGTTGGAGTTTTTAACAAACATGTAGATGTGAATTATATCTCAATAAGGCTGTTATTAAAGAAAAGAATTGTATGTTGCACTTACTTGTCATGTAGTCTCCTTCAGTACAGAACAATTGTACAGATCTATAGATGGAAAAATTGTTCAGTCTTTTCTTGGCTTTACTGACCTTGACACTTTTTTCTTTTTTTGAGGAAGACTGGCCCTGAGCTAACATCCATGCCCATCTTCCTCTACTTTTTATGTGAGACACCTACCATAGCATGGCTTGACAAGCGGTGTGTAGCTCCACACCCAGGATCCGAACTGCCGAACTCTGGGCTGCCGAAGCAGAACATGCAAACTTAACTGCTGCCCCACCAGGCTGGCCCCAACCTTGACACTTTTGAAAATTACAGGTCAGTTCTTTTTTTATTTTTTATAAGGAAGATTAGCCCCGAGCTAACATCTGTTGCCAATCTTCCTCCTTTTGCTTGAGGAAGATTGTCACTGAGCTAACATCTATGGCATTCCACATACATATTTTGTATGTAGAACGCCACCAGAGCATGGCTCCATGAGGGGTGTGTTGGTGTGCACCCAGGATCTGAACCTGCGAACGCTGGGCCGCCAAAGCAGAACGCATGAACGTAACTATTATGCCATCGGGCTGGCCCCACAGGCCAGTTCTTTTATAGATTGTTACTCAATTTTAGTTTGTCTGATGTTTCCTCATGATTACATTCAGGTTATACATCTTGGTCAGAAATATCATAGAAAGGATACTGTGTTCTTCTCATTGTATCTTGTCAAGTGGTACATAACTTTGATTTGTCCCAAAGTTCAGTTTGATCACTTGATTATCATCAGGTTTCTCTCCTGTAAAGTTATTCTTTTCCCTCTTAAATTTTATTTTGTGGACAGTTACTTTGAAAGGGTATGAATATTCCATTCTTCATGAGCCATTTGTTTGTTTATTTATATCAATGTGAACCCATGTTTTCACATTGATTTGTCATGTTATGATCCGTTACTGAAATAACATATTTTGGTGTCAAATTATCCCTGATTTGACCAGCAGGAGCCCCTTCACACTGGTATCTTTCTTATTCTTTGAATGCTTCCTTACTCTCTGGTACAAGAAGATGCTCCAGTTTCATCTTGTATTCTGCCTTTCCTAACCCTGCAATCAGCCATTTTTCCAAGAAGCCTTGGTTCCTCTTGGTGGAGAATGATATTTAGAAACCACGAGTTGATCTCTAAAGTATATTGACTGCTTTTGGGGTGTCACTGCTTCTAAGCCCCTCTCAGCTAGACTAAGCTAGAGAATATATGTATGTTTACGTCTATGTGATTTTCCATGTTGTCCATCCGTCCATCCATGGAAAGCCCTAGGTTTATAGTGATGCTTTTACTCCAATCCAACTTCATAGGTTTATTCCAGTTTTCTCCCTTTCCATGTTTGTAACTCCCTTTTCTGAGTATAAGAAACCTTCTATTATCCTTAAGATAGTTATCTATGCGATCAAGTCCTTGTGTAAAACCAGTCTTCCATCCACCACCACTGCTCTTTCCCCTGTGTATGCCCTTCTCATACCACTCAAGTTCCAACCCACTCCCCCTTCTTCTTGGCTCCAGCTTATGGCTTTTGGACTGAATTGTTTGGGAAAGAAAGGGGGATAGAATGAGGAGGAGGAGAAAGCTGTTTTTTCTTTTAACTTATAATTTAGTGAATTATACTAATAGGTTTTTCTAATATTGACTCATACTTAGACTTTCACAATGCCCCCTGCTTTTTCTACTCTTTCATTTAAAATTTCTTGATAAGTTAATTTATTTTGCTGATCTGAAAAAGCTTTGGAATGCTGGAAATTTTCTTAGACATTCCCATAATTTTATTCTCTTTGATGTCTACAGGGGGAATACAAGGCTTTCTCCTGAGTTCTTTGCGTTTTCCCACTGCGTTTGATTTTGGAAATGCTACCGGAATGATGGCTGCGTTTTCAGAGGTGGAAATTCTTATGTCTCAGAAGCAAGGAATTACAGAATACCTACTTTCCAGTGGTGATGTATGACTCACAAAATCCACACCATTATTTATAATTCCCTAGTGAATTTGTTCATGAAAACAGAGCAGAGATTCCTAATACTTCTTGAGTTTTGCAAAATAACAAGAAAGAAAAAAAGAATTCAACTAAATGCCCATTTGTTAGTCCAGCTTTGGAAGGGACCAGCCTTAAAGAATAATTGGTGAGTAAACCAATATCAATACCACTATCCTTCATCTCCTTCGTGTTCAGCCTGACCCAAAAGAATTTCTTGGAGCCCACAAGGTAGTTAATTGAAAAGATAAAACTGCTTTGGAAAGCATTTGCATTTTAAGTAGAGATGGAATTTGGGGAAGTGCCTTGTAGGCATCTATCATTCTACAAACCATAGTGATTGTCAGTGACCTGAAACTTGGAGCAGGTTATGATGATTAAATAATGTCCAGAGTTTTGCCCTTCAGGAGTGCCTTTGTCCTCTACCTGATCATTAGCACGCTGTCTTGACTCCTTTAGGCCTAAAGTGCGTAAGTTGCTTATTTTTATCTGCGTAGTTGGTTAACTTTGGAGGCAATCATCTTTGAGGTATGATTTTCTTCCTCTGACAGACAATAAGGCCTAGATGCCTATTCTTTTTATATTTTGTTATTCCCACTTTCTTCATCTCCCACCAGCCCTCCCACCATTTCTGTTTAAAGAAGTTACTGGTATTTTTCTTGACTAGCTAACTCCTGAAAAAACATTTGAGTATGACAAATGCTGGCAAAAAAGATGAGGGAAGAAAGGATGCTTTTTTGTTATGAGGTTTGAATTTATTTTATCATGATAAGTTGACCATTGGGTAACTGTGCTCCCCGGTGAATTGCATGCTTCAGTTATGTCATTGGCTCTGGTGACTCAGAGAGGGTAATCCAATTGTCCAAATAAAGAAGGGTCTGAAAACAAAGAATAAATAGAAGTTGTATTTTGGAAGCATGCTCATTCGTAAAACTGGTAGGTCCCATTCATTTCAGAAGGGCATTAACTGGAATATTGTCTGAGCCTGTGATTAGAACATTCGTTCATTCATTCAGCAGATATTTACCGAGAACCTTCCACGTGCTGGACACTGTCCTAGGTGCTGGAGATGTATTAATAAGCAAAGACAAACATGATCCTTGCTGGTAAATTTAACAACTACTTTTCAGAAACAAAAGCCCTTATTTTTAATATTTGCCAATTTCTGTTTTATAAATCATCCCACCATAGCCAATTTCAAGCTTTCCATGTTCAACATTGCCTGGCATATAGTAGGAGCTCAAAAAATGGCAGCCATCACCATCATCTTCACATCCTGATCATAATTATCACTAATAGGCTTGCTTTAACCACATACTGAAAAGAAACTCACGATCTACAGGGGAAAATGTCTAAGATGTGTACTTAAGGGTGTGTGTGAATAAGGACGTAGAGAAGCAGAGATGGTTCTGAAAGGATGGAAACAGACTGGATTTGATAAGGGTAAGTTAGGCAACAAAGTGGGATGTTCCTTTTTCATTTTTACTAATTTTCATGAGTATTATTTTTATAATATTTTTTCTGATTTAAAGATTTTATTTTTCCTTTTTCTCCCCAAAGTCCCCCGGTACATAGTTGTATATTTTTAGTTGTGGGTCCCTCTAGTTGTGGCATGTGGGATGCCACCTCAGCGTGGCTTGGTGAGCGGTGCCGTGTCTGCAACCAGGATTCAAACTGTCAAAACCCTGGGCCACCGAAGCAGAGGGCGCAAACTTAACCACTCAGCCATGGGGCCGGCCCCTACTTTTATAATTTTTAATGAAAGAATTCACCTTGCCCAAGTTGACCAAGCTTAGCTCTCACATGATGCTGGTCGAACAGTGACCAAATACATAGTGGATACAAGACAGTTATCATGAGAGAATCAGATACCACAATATATGAATCATTGTGGAGGGAATTATCACTAAATGATTATTTTCCTGGTGAAAAGTGACAAACTATTGACAGAAGATAAAATAGATTCAAGATACTTGATGAGTATTCCAGTTGCTACAGAACAAACCACCACAAAACAATAGCTTAAAACAATGACAGTGTTTGTTTTGCTCAAGGATTTGCAATTTGGATGGGGCCTGGTGGGGACATTTTGTCTCTGTTCTACTTGGCATCAGGTCGGGTGACTGGAAGGCTGAAAGATAGAATCATCTGAAGGGGCAGTCACTCCCTAGTCTGGTGGTTGTTAGTGGCTGTTGCCTGGGACCACTATGGGACTGTGGTTGGAACCCCTATGTGTGGCTGCTTGTCTTCCCCACCATATGGTGGCTCAGTTCCAAAGGCAAGCGTCCTGAGAGAGAACCAGGTGGAAGCTTATCAACTTTAATGACCTAACCTTGAAAGTCATACAGCATTACTTTCTCTACATTCTCTTAGTCAAGATAGTCTCAAAGCATTGCCCAGGTCCAAGGAGAAGAAAAATAGACTCTACCTCTCAATGGACACGTAGCAAGTTCTGCAAGACTGTGTGGGACCAGAAATATGAACATGGCCATTGATGGAAAATACAACCTGACACAATAAATCCTCTGCTTTTCGATGTCATCTGTAGAGCAAAGATGGAAAGTTACCCAGATCTTCTCAGCTGCCCAGCTGAATGTGAGGACTGCAACTTTACCTTTACTCCAAAAACCATATTCATGTGTTGTGAAAGCTATAAATTCTCATGTAGGAAACCAGAAGAATTTTAGTATTATATTTCCCATGCCTAGCACAGCCATGGTTCAAATTCATTTCGCTGTGTACTGTGAAATTTATCTTAACCTCAAAGGCAGATTGACACATTACAGGGATGGTGAAAGTTTACCATTGCTTGGTCTGACTCAAGAAGTTGGTGGGTTCATGTTATTTTTGTCTCTAAGCTTATTTCTCAAAGGGAAAAAAAAAGAGCACAGAAAGGAGCTTCATGAAAATGAATGTTTTGCAATGCAATTTCAAATATTGCTCTTAAATGCCGTTGACGTCCTCCTTTTACCTACCAGCCATACTTTATACTAATTTGTGTTGAGCGTAATGTGTTGTTTGGGAGTCAGATGCATTTCTCGTGTTATTTGTTAGAGTTTGAGTCAACTCATTCATTTGTGTCCCCAAGGTCCTTGGTTCCAGGTGGAGCACACATGCATAGAACATACTAGCAGGAGACTGGGCACCAGGTATGTGTGGATAACCCATAGAGTGGCACTTCGAGAATTGTCAGAAAACATCCAATTAATGGGGTTCACTAGATTTGAACCTCCTTTTATCTTAGGATTTGAGTTGTTATCTCCAAACCAGCTGTAAATTAGATCCTCAGGGATTCCAATTTTTAAAAACACTGTTATTGTAAATTTTTAGTTTTTTGAACATACCCAAGTTCGTTGCTTATTTAAGAAGATGTGGTCATCATGTAACAGAAATCTTAAAAACTAAGCTCTTTTGGCAATTGACATGAAGAAAAAAATTAAAAAAAAGATTTTCACACTGTCTTTTAAAGTGTGAAAAACAGTTTTATTCATGTTTGGATAAATCAGTCATGTTGAATTTTAACAAAGTTTTCCCCCCAAATATTTTCTTGTTTAGACTGAAGAAAACCATGAGACATTTCTTTGAAGATAAGTCAATATTTTGTTTTCCAGAAATTTGTTAAAGACTTGAAACTTTTAGCAGTCCTTTTTCTCCCATAACTACAATGCCAAAATACTAAAATGAGTAAACTGTTTGTATCTTCCCTGAAATTGACAGCATGACTGGAATCAAATATTGGGCGCCCAAACGTTTATGTTCATTGACGTGTACTCGTAAGGAACACGTACTGATATCCCTAGCTCAGATGGTTAATTATAAAAAACCATCAATTAAGACAGTCAGCCTGGTTATTCTTTAGTTCACCTATGGGAGCTTTTATAAAATACCAATTCTTGGGTCCTACTCTCCAAAGATGCTGACCCACAGGCCTACTGTGAGGACAAGGAATCTATGTTCTTCAAAAGTTCCACTATGAATCTGGATATCAGCCCAGCGTGGGAATGACTGAACTACAATATTCGCTATTTCTTAAAACACTTTTTGTGAGGTAAGATGTTTTACCTTAATAGGAGTTTTTATAGCTCAGGACAAAATGATGTTATGTTCAAATTTCTGTCCTTGTTGCATTTTACAATAGGAACTCAGGTTTACACTAAACTTTTATATATTGACTCACTTTATAGTAGAACCTACAGCTTTATAAAAGAAATGGGGTAAGGAATTCCAATTCATAAATCTCGTTATTGCTCTCTTTAGCTTTGTGTTGGGCTTAAATATATTTTATATATAAATGCTCTATATAATAATAATGATCATGATCATCATTATTTGGTAGACATTTCCCTTTAGCTTCCCCAGACTCCACTATCTGGAACTCGTGACTAAATGAACAACTACAAACAATTAGTTATGGTTAGAGGTCATGAATGGGGCATGCCTCACAGAAGTGGAAATTGTTGTATAGAGCCGCAAACAAAAAATAAGATTTCCACAGGCAAAGGAGTAGATATAAGATATTCTTGAGTAGAGAGAACAGAATAAACAAAAGCAAAGATGCTTGAAGTCGCCTGGCACATTCAAGAATGGGTGAATAGCTCAGTGTAGCCAGGGTACAATATGTACGGGAGATATCCATGGCTTGAAATATTCTGTCTTCAGTGATGGGGGCAAAGAATTCTATCTTGGTTCTGTTCCCAATTGTCTGGAATGACTTTATGGAGAAATGTGTTAAGATGGATTCTGAGGATACATCTGGCTCTGGGGTTGATTAGGGCTCAGCTGTGAGCAGAGGAAGGGGGCAACAGAGTATGTACTCTTGATCTTAGTGTTTTCCTTCGCACCTTCTCTTAACTTAACTTTGTATATATATTCAGTGTCTGTCCTGCTCTTGGTTCTCATTGTCATATCTTGGGTTATATATTGAGATCCTTGAGGGATTCGTGAAATGCTTATCCTTTGACGAAGATGTTTTGCTTTTGGCTGCCATTTCAACCCTGTGGGTGGGCGCTGTAGCAGGACTCTGCTGGAAGCTACTGAAGCGGTGAGAACCAGATGAAATACAACCCAGTGTTCACTTCAGAGTTTCTGAATCAGTGATCGAGTCAAAGGATGACTGATGAACTGTTCATGTGATTTGCTGCATTTATGGATTTCCATTTAAAAGCTGGTGGGGCACAGACATATTTTTCTCCAGAAGAAAAAGAGCTAATGCGGAAATTAGATCCACTTCAATTTTTAACCAAGAAAGCTCACGCTAATTTTCAAAGCACCGGCATTATTATATATGTAACTATGGATTGGACTGGTAATTTTTCAATTTACTAGTTTTCAGAAACAAATCTAAATGCTTTACATGCTTCAAGAAAATTTAAAAATGAATTTTTACCTCCTCAGACTGTAGTTTATAGGAAACCTCTTCTTGTTGTTCCCACTATCTTTTGGTTCTGTCTAGCAATCTCATTTGGACAAAATGTGTAGGCTCTTCGCTAATACCATTTGAAGATTTTATACTTAATGAGCATTTTTTTTTTCAATTCTAAGACTTTCTTTGGGCCACATTTTAACACTAAAATCAGGATGTGTACATCATACTTTCTGTGAACAGTTCCTGTAGCATTTCCTGTCTGTTCCAACTCCCAACTGCCCGCCTCCTCCTCCCACTCCCTCCCCCTGGTACCGAAAAGCTGTTGGTAAATCTGTGCTGCTTCTTGGCCATTTTAGCATTGAGGAAATGTGGAATGTTTATGCATGGAGGATAAATGGCTCTCATTGATTTTGTAAAAATAAAGGAAAGAGAACTCGGTAAATATGGCAGAAGAATTCCTTTGAGGGTTTCCAAACCATGCCTCCCTCTTCTCTTTCTTTTTTCTTTCTTTTTTTTTTTTTTTTTTTTTTTTTGCTGAGGAAGATTCACCCTGAGCTAACATCTGGGCCAATCTTCCTCCATTATGTATGTCGGTCACCACCGCAGCGTGGCTGACGAGTGGTCTAGGTCCACGCATGGGATCCAAACCTGCAAACCCGGGCCACCAAAGTGGAGAGCATGAACTCAACCCCTACACCGCCAGGCTGGACCCGCTCTCTTCCCTTTCATTTTGAACGTGGCTAGGTGTATGTCTGGCAGCTGGAAGTTTGAGATGACTTTTCTGCGAAGTCTGAAGGATCATGAAAAACCACATCAGGTGCCTTAAAAATCACTTTATCCCCAATACTTTAAAATTATTTTGGTTTATTAAGCTAATAAGGCCAATTAGTTATTGGTGCTAGAAGGAACAATTTTCCTTTTACCTAGAGATTGTTAAAAACGTTAGAATATTAAATCTAGGGGGTATTTTAAAGGTTGTCCCGTCCAGCCAAAGCTTTGACTGTGGGTCCTTGACTCTAGGATCTTTCTTCTAGCATTCTGTCTAGAGTTCTGCTAGTAATCCCTCAGCCTGATGATTATGGGAAGTTCTTAGACACTTCCTGCCCCATTACTTTTGACCTTAAAATAGCCTTTAAGCCAACTTAAATTTTCTAGTAGCCATAGACAGGTAAAGTGCTTAATGCTTACCAAAGTATAGGACATATTTAGGGATCAGACAGATGACAGTTCAAGCTTCAGTTCTGCCACCTCTTAGATTTGTGACCGGTCAAGTTACTCAACGTCCCTGAGCCTTCTTCACATATTGAAGTCATTCAAAAAATAATCAGTGTAAATGAGGTTTGCACATCTAGAATGTGTCAGAACTAGCCTGGATGCTGAGCGTACAGTGCTAAACAAAACAGACATAGTTCTTGCTGTCAAAGACCTCAGCTCCTGAGAATACACAAGAATGAGTTTCAGTTACGATACAGAAGACAAGTCCTATGACAGGGATAGCCCAGGCTTGGAAGTGGGGCACACCGTGCAGGCAAACCTTTTAGAGAAATTACGTCAAAGCTGAGAGATGAAGAATGGCTGGGAGTGGCCAAGCAGGTAGGAGTAATTGTGATGGTCTTAACTTTCTTCCCTGTAAAATGAGGACATGCCTACCTTATTGGGTTATAGTGAGAAACAGACAGTGAATGTGACACACCGGGACTGTGCCCGACAGTACATTGGGCCAGAAAACGTGACTTGAATAGGTATCATCCTAGGCAATGGAGATTCAAAAATGAGTAAGAGGTCATCCCCTCCTCCTGGGTCATAGAGGCCAGAAGTCTCACTCTAGCTCCCTAGGCTCCCTCTGTTGCTGCGCTTGTTCCTCTGTGTTGTACTTGCCTGTTCACACATGTCAATCTTGAGACCACCAGCTTAGTGAGGCCAGAAATGCTTCTCTCTTGTCCACTGTTGTAACTTCAGTGCTCAGCTGTTCCTAGTGCCTGTGGACCATTGCTGTTCCCCTGCAGGTTGGCGCCCTGCCATGGCCTCCCTCCCTTACCTTTTCAGCTTACACCTGCCCAACTTTCAACTGTCAGTCCCCACATTTATTTGCCTGAAGGTTTTCTGTGGCTGCTGAGGCCCACTCAGCTCACACGTGAAGGAAGGAGGCTGGGAGTGTGGAGGAGTTAAATCCCACCCCAGTTGCTCTCAGTGGTGTGGGATACAGTTGGTAGATAAATATCCCAGCTCCCATCCCTTGGGTGGGATGACTATGAGGCATGTCCTCTGGGGCTCCCAGAGTCCCCAAGAGGATTAGTTCTAGTTACGCAAGGCGATAACTCAATTGATAATTTACCCTCCATTGGCTGTTTTCCCTTCCTTATCTTCTCTATCTGATCTCCTCCTCCTCTCTTACTGCCCTCGCTTACCCAACTCCCGAATAAACCACTTACACTTGAATCCTTGTCTCAAGGTCTGCTCAAACTCAAATGTCTACTGGGCATCCAAATCCTTATTCTATATGTAGGGAATTCTGCTGCCTATGAAGAGCCCATCTCCCATGATAGGAACTGAACATTTCAGATACACTTGCAGGCAGCGATGGGCACATGACCTGTGCTTCACCAATCAGAGGCAGCCACTCCACTCTCTAAATTGGAAGCCAATGTCATGAAGAAGAAAGAAATGCCCAGGATTGCTTCCGTTGACAGATGGTAGCAGAGACAACAATGTGAATGGTAGCTTCCAGAATCCACTGTTGGTGACACATGTGGTGCCACCCAAGACTTCAAGCATGGCTTTACCCAAACAGTTCTACTTGGAGATTTTAAGATCTCTAAGTCTGGTTCTTTGGTCTTCTCAGAGATTCTTTGATCTCTCCAATATCTTTTGTGATAAATTCCTTTCCTGCCAACATGTCAGGGTTGGTTTCTGTAGCTTGTAACTAAGAATGCTGTCTGTCTATGTCAGTCAGGACAGAGCCAGGAAAACAGTCCTCTAGGTCTTTCAAGCCAATGGGATTTAATACAGATAATTGGGTAAAAGGATGATAGAAAAGCTGGAAAGCCAAACAAGAAGCAATGAGCACCCCACAAGTTGGTAGCAGCTGGTAGCTGCCATCACCCCTAGGGCTTCAGTGGAGGAAGGGAGCCCATTGTCTAACAGGAGCCAGAACCACAATAAGACCAGGACCCGAAGCTGCACAAGAGGGAGGGGAGAGAGGTAGGAAGAGAGGAAAAGGGGTGGGGACAATATCTGGCCTTCTTCCTTTTTCCCCCACCCTCCAATTTTACGCCATACCTCCCATAAGTAACCAGAAGCTAGAGGGCAAGGGAGCCTGTAGTACAGAGCAGAACAGGGGAAGAGTCAGAAACAGACCTGAAAGCCAGTAGGCAGTTGACATGCATTTGTACTAGGAGCTCAAACACATTTTGGCTGAATGAATGAAGAGAATGATCAAGGAGAGGGTTGGGCCCAGAAACTTGAGTTATACCAACACTTAAAGGCTAAGGGAATAAGAGAATTCCCCTTAAGGAGAAGCAATCCAAGAGATAGGAGGAAACTGAGGCAAGTAGTGCCCGGGATGCCACAGCTCTGAAGCCATGAAATCTGCCAGACTCCTAACTGGATTTCCATCAAATAGACCTCTGAATTATTCATCGAGTCTAGACAGGAGACTCAGAGCGCTTATCCACGAGCTTCGG